TAGTAGTAGCAGGAGTAGTAGTAGTAGTAGTAGTAGTAGTAGTAGTAGTAGAGTAGTAGAGTAGTAGTAGTAGTAGTAGTAGTAGTTGTTGTAGTAGTAGTAGTAGTAGTAGTAGTAGTAGTAGTAGTAGTAGTAGTCCTAGTCGTGGTCGTAGTAGTAGTAGTAGTAATAGTAGTAGTAGTAGTAGTGGTCGTAGGAGGAGAAGTAGCAGTAGCAGTAGTAGTAGTAGTAGTAGCTGTTGTAGCGGTAATAGAAATTGTAGCCGTAGTAGTCGTTGTAGTCGTAGTAGTAGCAGCAGTGGGAGTTGTAGGATGAGTAGGAGTAGTCGTAGTAGTACTACTACGACTAGTGGTAGTAGTTGCAGCAGCAGCAGTAGTAGTCGTAGTACCAGTAGTATCAGTAGTATCAGTAGTGGTATTGGTCGTGATAGTGGGGCACGCATATGTTGATATGATATTCTGTTGGGAAATATTGTGCCCAATATTCATACGTTTGTGTGATATCTAGTGGCCGTCGGCCCATCCAGCCACCTTGCTTGGGTTGCGGGTGAGATGCATCTTGGATGTTCGTTTGGATATCGCTGGAGGCCTCTCGGGGACCTCTTGGATGCAGTTTTGATGCCTTTTGGGGGCCGTTTGGGATCTCTCGGGGCTTCTGTGTGGGCCTTACTGGAGCCTCGTAGGCATCCAGGGGGGTTCTTGGGCTCTCTTGGGGCCTCCTGGGGGCTTCTTGGGGCGGAAGGCTCGATATGTCGGTTCGCGTTCCCCCTCTTGGGGCAGTCTTGGTGGCCCTTTTGGGCGATCTTGGGCGCATCTTGAGCCATGTTGGGGCCCTCTTGAGCCGTCTTGGGGGGCGGTCCTGGGGGCCTCTTGTGCAATCTTGGAGCGCCGGAAATTCGAAAACGCGAGAACATGGGAAAACATTTTATTACCCTGGCGAAGGACCCAACCAGATGCAGTTGTGAACGCCACGTTGTTCGTATCGCCTTCAGTGGATCTCCATATGGGACCACGAAGCGCGAATAGAGAGTGCCGAAATAGGGCGGGGCTGCCATGCGGGCGCTGCTACTAGGGCCTGATGTAGAGCCTCGTTTTGCGGGGCCACAGACGTGTGAGGGGCGTGCCGAAATGGGGCGGGGACGCCATGCCGGCGCTGCCATTGGGGCCTTCGGTGAAGCTCCCTGTGGGGCCACGAAACGTGTGAGGGGTGTGCCAAAATAGGGCGACGCCGCCGTGCGGACTGCGCCACTGGGGCCTCAGGTGGAGCCCCCTTGTATGAGGCGACGAAACGTGTGAGGGGTGTGCCAAATGGGGCAGCACCGCCATGCGGAATGTCACAGGGGCCTGAGGTGGAGCTCCCTAAGGGGCCACGAAACGTGTGAGGGGTGTGCCACAATGGGGCGGCGCCGCCATGCGGAATGCCACAGGAGCCTGCGGTGCAGTTCCCTAATGGGCCACGAAACGTGTGAGGGGTGTGCCAAAATGGGGCGGCACCGCCGTGCGGAATGCGCCACTGGACCTTTTGGTGGAGCTCCGTATGGGGCCACGAAGCGTATGAGGGATGTACCAAAATGTGGCGGCGCCGCCATGCGGAATCCGCTGGGACCTTTGGTGGAGCTCCCTATGGGGCCACGAAGCGTGTGAGGGGTGTGCCAAAAAGAGGCGGCGCCGCCATGCGGAATGCGCCACTGGGACCTCAGGTGGAGTTGCCTATGGGGCCATGAAACGCGTGAGGGGTGTGCCAAAATGAGGCGGACTGCGCCACTAGGACCTTGGGTGGAGCCGCCTATGGGGCCACGAAACGTGTGAGGGGTGTGCCAGAATGGGGCGGCGCCGCCATGCGGACTGCGCCACTGGGACCTTGGGTGGAGCTCCGTATGGTGCCACGAAACCTGTGAGGTGTGTACTGAAACGGGTGATGACGATGATGATGATGATGATGATGATGATGATGATGATGATGATGATGATGATGGTGATGGTGATGGTGATGGTGATGGTGATGATGATGATGATGATGATGACGGTGATTATTATGATATTGATGTTGATGATGATGACGATGACGATGACGATGATGATGATGATGATGTTGATGATGTTGATGATGATGATGATGATGACGATGATGATGATGATGATGATGATGATGATGATGATGATGATGATGATGATGATGATGATGATGATGATGGTGGGACCTGGGCAGCAGGAGGAGTGACGCGTGGCGCTGTCTCTTCAAAACGAGGACCCAACACCACAGGATGGTTGGGAAAAAACACAGGAATCAATGATGTGTGCCTCTTTGGGCCCTCTTGGGGGTCCTCTTGGAGCGTTCTTGGGACTTCTTTGTAGCATTTTGGACAATTCTGGGGCCATGTCGGGCGTCTTGGATCGTTCTTAGGCTGCCTGGGAGGCCTCTTGGACTTTCTTGGGCACTTTCTGGGGCCCTCTTGGTACGTGTTGGGGCCCTCTGGCCTCTGGACAGGTCTCGCGGGGCAGCTCAAGACCGCGCGGGGGAACGCCAAGGGAATTAGAGAACTTGGTGCCCCAGCACCAGAGCCCTGAGTATATATATATATATATAGAGAGAGAGAGAGAGAGAGAACAGAGGACACACGAGGGCCTGGAGGAAACTCCACTTCGCGCCTCGCGGCACGGCGGCGGATAGTTTCCATTCGTACAAGATATAGCCATCGCCCAGGCCCCGGGGCCCCGTGGCAGCACACCTTTCCAAAACGCCCCCTCCCCCCCAATGGTGACCCACCGTGGCCCCACGGGGTCCCCAGGGCCGAGCCCGCGCTTGGGTTACCCAAAATGGTCTCGAGGGCGATCCGACGCTTGGCATCGCTCGGACGTGTGTATTTTTCCTTCGGCGAGGACCATCGAGGAGCATCCTTGATCATTTGGCAAACAAAAAGAGAGAGAGAGAGAGAGAGAGAGAGAGAGAGAGAAAAAGAGAGAGAGAGAGAGAAAAAAAAAAAAAAAAAAAAAAAAAAAAAAAAACGCAGGGGGGGCTCCGAGAGGCAAGCACATTCCGTGTGCATGTCTAGCAGATTCGATGTTTTGGTTTTCCCTCTGTTCAAAGAGACCCCACAGGCCCTCAAAACGGCCCAAGAGGCCCCAAGAAGGCCCTAGGATGGCCCAAGAGGGCCCCAAGAGAAGAGCCAAGAGAGGGAGCACGGACTGATCTCTCCAGCCATTCGCCCCAAGATGACGTCCGAGACCGCCAAACAAGGCTCCAGAAGGACACCAAGAGTCCGCAAGAGGGCCATAACAGGCTCCAGGCTCTCAAGAGACCCCAAGACGTTCATAATTGCTTATAAGACGCCCGAGAGGCATCTGGGAGTTCGATCCCGGTGCGCAATTGGCACGCTTGAGCTAATCTGCGGTATAATGGCTACCTCGGCGCTGGCTCGTAGAAGCAATTGTTTCAGTTGTTTCGTGGACGCCCACCCAGGATCACTTGGAATATGTCTGAAACCGTACTCCACACCTTCCCCTTTACAATTGCGCGTTCTCGACAAGGAGTGGGTTCAGCAGTCGGAGGAAAGGGGGGACGCCGAGGAGGATGAGGACGAGGATGACTCGAAGGAGGATGCCCACCCAGGTCCCGCCCAAGCCGTCGGCCCGGGCTATGCCGACACGCTCGAGCTAATCTGGGGGGTCGAGGCTGCCCCAGCGCTGGCTCATAGGACAAGTTCAAGACGGCCCCGAGACCGCTCAAGAGGGCCCTTAAGACGGCCCACGAGGCTCCCGGGGAGGAGCGCAGACACACCGGGAGGGCCCCCAGAGGCTCTCCCCAGAGGCCCGGACCTTCAGTCAACCTCTAATGGTACAGTTGGGGCCCTGAAGAAGGAACCCTTTTCGTTGGGGAGGGGCTCCGCGTTCCTTAAGTGTTTCGCAGCTTGCCTCAGGTTTTCCTTATGTTTTCGATCGGAAATCGAAGTTTAACTCATGGAAAAAAGGGGCCTCGTTCCTTATTTTGGGTTCCTTAGGTCAAGCCCCCGACTGTATCCCACTACGCTCCCGCATATCATACGCCCTAGGACATTCCCAGAGGCCCCCAGAGATCCCCAAACGGCTTCCGAGAGGACCCCGGAGGCTTCCCAAGAGAGCCCACACGGACCTGCGTCCAAAACCTCGACCCCCCTCGATCCTCGATCCTGCCCTCCTCTTCCCTCCCTCCCCCCATCACTCACACATCCCTTTCTCTCTCACCGTTTGGTTTCCGCGGGCATGCATCGAGCCTCAGGCGGCCGTTCGGGACGAGTCGGGCCGGGAGGAAGGGACAGGACGAAGGGGGGTCCTCCTTGTTATCCTCCTTCTTCTCCTCCTCCTCCTCCTCCTCCTCCTCCTCCTCCTTTTCCTCCTCCTCCTCGTCCTCCTCCTCTTCTTCCTCCTCCCCCTCCCCCTCCCCCTCCCCCTCCTCCTCTTCAGGATTCTTTCACTTGCGTTTCATCACAGCGCCATGGGCTGCAGGGAAACCAAAGCGCGCGCGGTTTTAGTTCTGCTGACTTGAGGGCCAGAAGATGTTCTCATCTCAGGGGTGGAGCTGGCGAGCTTGGGGAGCCCCAGGTGGCCGCATGGAAAGGGGGGAGAGCTTCGAATGGAGTAGCGTCTCCCAGGACCACCCTTGAATGTGGGCTCGCTTGTTTGCGCCACGTATACGGTTGCCTGCGGCGTGTAAATGTTCCGTTGATGCGCAGTTGCATGTCGGCAGTTGGTTGCCCCCTACGTGGATTCAGGTCCCAGTCATTCGTCATTCACGTCTTAGTTTGCTGGCTTGTTGCTGCAGTATGTCCGCACTGAGTTATTCAAAGTTGCAATGTGTACCGCCCACTTGCCTCGCATTGCGTCCGCCAGCACGCGCTTCTGATCGGCACTGGTCGTGGTCGTCTTCGGCGTCGTCGGCGTCGTCATCGTCGTCGCCGGCTTCGGCGTCGGCGCCGCCGGCGGCGTCGGCGTCGGCGTCGGCGTCGTGGTCGTCTGCGTCCCCAG